ATAAATGTGGATAGTGTCCACATGTGGACACAGATGATACCCCTGCTTGCATATTATATATTAATCAAGGGACATAACTGAAGAACGGTAAAAGTGACCCTACCCAAATTTGAACATGATCTGAGTTTTGTGGTAATAAGCATTGTGTGTAAGTCTCATAACATTTGGTTGAGGCTAACTTGAGTAGAGAAGAGAAACTAAAAATTCAGCAATTTTTCTATTTATAAATACGCATAACTCTAGACCAATTGTGTATAAGTTTTATAACATTTGGTTGAGACAAACTAAAGTTAGAGAACGGAACGAAAAATTCAGCAATTTTTATGTTTATAAAGGAACATAACTCAAGAATGGTAAAAGTGTCGCCACCAAATTTCGTACTTAATCTGTATTATGTAGTAATAAGCATTGTGTATAAGTTTCATAACATTTGGTTGAGGCAAACTAAAGTTAGAAAACGGAAACAAAAAATTAAACTGAGTTTTGTGGTAAAAAGCATTATATATACATTTCATTACATTAATTTAAGACAAACTCAACGGAAACGAAATATTCAGCAATTTTTTCATTTGTAAAAGGGCATAACTCTAGAACAGTAATCAAAGTACTTGTAAGCACTGAATGGTAAAGATTGCTTTAATTTATCAGTAGGAAGTAAAATTGAATATTGCATTGTATAAAGCATTGGTTGTAGTTGATTCAACTACCATTATGCACAAAGAAAGATAACTCAAATTTTCAAAGAAGACTTTAAAATATTTTTAGAAATGAAGGGTAAAAACTGCTTTAATTCATCAGTGGAAGGTAAAATTACACATTGCATTGTATAAAGCATTGATTGTAGTTGATTCAACTATAATCATAGACAAAGAAAGATAACTCCAATTTTAAAAATACTTGATATTTAAAAAAAAAAAATGAAAAATTCAGCAATTTTTCCATGTTTAAAGGGCATAACTCTAGAACAGTACAAGTGACGGCACCAAAATTCAAACTTGATCTGTATATTGTGGTAATAAGCATTGTGTATCAGATTCATAACATTTGGTTGAGGCAAACTTAAGTTAGAGAATGGAAACGAAAAATTTAGCAATTTTTCCATTTATAAAGGGACATAACTCTAGAACAGTAAAAGTGATGCCACCAAAATTCAAACTTGATCTGTATTTAGTGGTAATAAGCATTGTGTATAAGTTTCATAACATTTGGTTGAGGCAAACTAAAGTTAGAGAACGGAAACCAACTTTGGGACGTACGGACAGACGTACGTACAGACGGACAAGGGTAAAACGTAATGCCCACTCTGCTACGGCGGGAGCATAAAAATAATCCAACAGCATAAGTTTTAAAAAATTAATCAATTTTTATACAACCCAAAATTGGTATGATGTTGTTGAAGTCCGAAGACATTTGGTTTCCAGACAATAACTTAAGTATAAAGTGTATATGGATCTCTATGAAATTGTACCACAAGGTTCCATACAACAAAAGGAAGGTTGGGATTGCTTTTGGGGGTTATTGTCCTGTTTAGGAATTCAGGGACAAAAAGGGGCCAAAACAAGCATTTTACTTGTTTCAGGACAATAACTTGTGTATCAGTGTATGGATCTCTATGAAATTGTACCACAATGTTACATACATCAAAAGGAAGGTTGGGATTGATTTTGGGGGTTATGGCCCAAAACGTTTGGGCAAAAAAAAAAGATTTTCTGGTTTACGGACAATAACTTGAGTATAAGTCTATGGATCTCTATGAAATTGTACCACAAGGTTCCATACCAAAAAAAGATGGTTGGGATTGATTTTGGGGGTTATGGATTAGTAGCAATACAGTTAGAATAAAAAACTTAAAATTGACACTCATAACTTTTAAACACCCTCTCTCCCTTGCTTTCTAACAAATAAGGCTTATGTGTTGTGTTATGTATGTGCAAATATATGGAAACAGCATTTTCCATAGATTTAATTTCCAATAGTTAAAATGTCACAAAAGTCCCTAAAATTTGGTCCAAAGTAGTATTTCAATCCATAAGAGTAATAACTTTTCTGAAACCATTGACATTTATCTATCTATAGGTCAAATAAAAATCATATGCATTGCACCTCATTTTTCCATAAAACTGAATTGAAAAGTTCGAGGGTCAAACATGTGTTGGAAAACACTACAACAATTTATGGACCTATGGGCGGTATGGATGTGAAAATATGGACTGTCAAACAGAAAGTGGCCTATAAAACATGCAAAAAACAATCTTCATGTTCATATCAACCAACTTTGAAGGTTATATTATTCTTCAGCTATCTAAAAATCAATTTTATTGCACAATAACTTTCATATTTAAAAAATTCACAGGGCCAAAATGTGAAACCAAACTCCTAACTGTGTATTGCTACCTATGGCCCTAACTGCGCAGGAAAAAGGGGCCAAAAACAATAAATTTCTAATACTTTGAATAAATTGCTTATTTCTTGACCCGTTTGAATGGGGTTTAATTCAAAGTCTTTAATTCTTTGGGTTGAATCTAACCATGTATTTATTTTTTGGAATTTTGGCCCAATTTTCAATCCAGAGTTGTATCAAGCTTGAATGTTGTGACCATACTTGCCTCAACTGCGGTTGTATCAAGCTGTGCCCTGCAGAGCATTTTATTATTTGTCCTTTTGAAAGTTAGAGGAAGGAATTATGAACCAAATGCAAATATAAATATATGCAGTATGATTGCAATAGATGCAAAAATAAATCTATGCAGTATGATTGCAATAGATGCAAATGCAAATACAATTATGATAATAAAATAACAAACGAACAAACAAGCAAACAAATAATATTTATAGGTTTTGTTTTATTATGATGTAGTTGACATGACAATTCACCCATGGATGCAATATTGCACAATACAATTTAGTTTATATGGAGATTCGACACCATATATATACAAAATATTTAATTTGTTCACTGGCAAGTGTGAAACGTTCAATAATTCATTTGCATCCCTAATCAATATACACTATTTCAATAACTTATCATTCTTACAATATATGCAGGCTAAAGATGAGAATGCAGAGTGTTCCAACTATACACCAAAAAAATTCTAAAATTTCTGGTTTACATTTTTTTTTCTTTGTTCGGTTTTGTATTAAAAAAATCCTGAATATAGAAGAACTTAAATAGAGATAAAAGACTAAAAAACAAAACTGAGTCTCTTTAAATAAATAGCCAATATGTTATTCCTTACATTTATTTACTTGATATAATCCCAATTCATAAAACAAAAGCATTTATTGTTTTAAATAATCTCTCTTTTTGATAATGTTTTTGATGAAAGATATACATAATCCTCATTGTTTAGCACTTTTCCTTTATATCTATACTACAGTGATGGTTTGATAAATCTCTGTGAAGGGTTAAGATAAAAAAACAAGATCTAAATTTCATCTTAAATCACCGATTTTAAGCTCTTTTGTTAGAAGATGGAAACAAGGACACACCATCATTTTAAAACCAGCCACCAACAATATATTATAGTATCTATTAAAGAATAAACAAAATTTAAATCTAGCTTGAGTATATTAACTTTATATTATAAGGAAGCAGATTAATAAAATTTAGTATGCTGAAGACCTTTGTTTACTTTCCAAAAGTATTTACTGAATAGTTCTGAAATCTTACTTCTTGCACATAAAAATACTTCACAGAATTATTGATAAAAATAAAATCTTTCAATGTACATCCTTTTTTCTCCCTGTTTATACAACTACATATAAGTGGGTTATTTAACTTAATAGACAGACTCAGATCTGATGATTTCATGTCTAAACGTTTGTGTATTGGAAAGCCCCTTTTTAGGATTTTTCAAATTCATATGTCAATGCTGCTGAACAATATTGTGTTTGATCCATTCACTTTTAACAAATAAAAGTTTTTAAATGTTAAAGAACAATAATTACTTACAGTAATTTTTTTGTCAGTAAGCAGGGAATACTTTTTTTGTCATCTGCACAAAACAGATCTGAGAAAATGAATATAAATATCAGTTTGATCAACTTTGATGTTGAAAAGCTATGGACTTGCTGAAATGTATATAACTTCTTAACATTTCAAATGGGAGTTTTAATATAATTGATTGGTCTAGAAAACTGCTGTTAATTGGGATGAAATCTGCAACTATTCCAAAACAGTACATATTTCAATTGTCGGTTTCACTAAGGCTTGAATTTTCGAAATAAAATTTACATTTAAATTTGTGATTTGTCTTCAATGAATCCTGAGGCATTCATTTTACCCCCTGTACTTTAACCTCACCCGATAAACTGGATGTAGTTTCTAATGAAATTAAATTGTATGCTACAAAGCTAAATGTTAGCAAACCAGAGCCTAACAGAAGTCATATTAAAGGCACATTAAAGCTATACAGATATAGTTTACACAATTTACAACCTCTTGTCATGTTTGCACTCTTTAAATCTTGACTAATAAAATGGACCTTAAGACTTATAGTGAAATCAGCATGTAAAACTCAAACATATCAAATAACTGGCACTGTAACAAAAGGTACAGAACATACCAACATGAAACATGGGATTTTGTAGGTTTTTGATAGAATGAGGGATTTCCTTGCAAAGATAAGGTATCACTTTCTTGCTTGCGCAGTACTGACTCCAATTTCATGAAAATATCTGCAATTATAACTATTATTTGTGTTTATTTTAAAGGAATTCCCTTATACATTCCAATACTCTTAAGAGTTTACCTTGCAATTTCTATATCAAGTTTTAGACAATTCAAAAGTCACTTGCCCTTAAGAGAGACAATTTGTGAACAAATGCATGATTAGCCAAAAAAAAAGACTAGACAGAAAACTACTCTTGCATTTTCCAGATAAACAATGGAAACACTCATTTAATAGAAATACAATCAGCAACAAATGCCACAAAAAAGACTAGAATATCCTAACATTTGTGAACCAGTAATATGGTTAAATTCTTCTAACATCATGAAGGCAGTATATGTATATGAATCAACAGAATATAAGCTATAAAGTATTAAAAAAGTTGTAATCTAATTTCATCAGGTAGCTAAGTTACAAAAAAACTATGATAAAACACCTTGCCATAAATAGCACATATATAACATGATAAATGTAGCGTTCATCCATGACAAACATAAATAAACCATTGGTCTCATTAAGAATTGCTCTCACAGCAGCCATTTTGAATTCCTTACTGGGCAATAAGAGAAAAGTTAGCAAATTTTCACAATTTTTATGAAATTTTCTAAATTTCAGGTAAAGCTAACAATGCCTTTTTTGATTTTTTCCCAATAAATATATGCAATCGAAATTTCTCAAAGATTATGATATTAGCTGTTTTGAAACATTCACTATATAAAATATGTAGTGTAAATGGGACATATATGTGAAACAAGACATACACGACATGTTTAATTAATAGAAAAATATTTAAAACAATTGTTTTATGCAATATACTATAGTTGTTTTGTGGCATATTTTGATTATGTAACTTTTTTTAAGCATGCCTAAAAAGCAAAGCAATTTTTGTTGTTGGGTTGCTGTCTCATTATTTTTGTTTTCATATATTTATCATATTTAAACTTACAGTAGAGAGTATAATAAATATTAGACATGTCTATACTTTACATTTCATATGCACAACTACACATTCCTCATTCAGCAAAGTTTTGCCCATTAAAAAAAAAGACAAATCCAAAGATAAGCTTGTTATTAAATTTTGTATTGAGTTTGGTCTCTTTAATGATCATATGATCAATTAAAGTTATGATTCCTTTGTCGCTTTAAATTATGGAATTTTTTTCAAATACAATGTACTGACATGGTTTTTTCATTTTGGTTAATTAAAAGAAAATGCTCATAGTAAATTAATCTATAAACTCCCTCATTTATTGAAGCTCTTGTTTTAGGTTATTTTTAATTTTTGCATAGCATTGCATAATCTTTAATTAAAAAGGCTTACTAGTGTACCCTTAGATAGAAGCTTTGAAATTTTCTAAAAAAGTAACAGTGATGAACAAGAATTCCTCTCCTGCCCCAAAATGAGACCAAGGTAAAATATTTACATGACTGATAAATTAAAATTTCTAAATCACTAAGTCAGCTAAAAAGTTTTTCTGTGTATGGCCTTAAATCCATCTTCATTATATTCTCTTTTTGATACCCACATCTTCTTAAATGTGTCCAGTGAAGCTAAAATGGATCCCCTGAAATACAAAATGTAAAATCAAAACAAGTAAGTTCACTTATTAAATACTGTAAAACCTGCGACTATTTTCACAAAAAATCTTACAATTAAAATTGATCATAAGTTTAACTGAATTTTTCATGACTTACGATTGTTGTTTGACACCATACTGAGTTCTTAAAATAGCAAAAAAAGATAAACAATATGCTTAACTTTGAGGCTCCGATAAGCCTAAATCACTCGCTTGGAAAATTATGCCATACTGAAATTTATTTTCACCTTGTTCACAAAAAACTTTTTTCCAGAATTGCAGAAACAAAACATTTATTCTAATATATTCAGCTTTTCAGAGTAAAAAAGGCAACTAAATTGTTTTTTTCTTCAGTGCCAGGATCAAATTATTTATTTACATAAAAATCACAATAAAAAATTCATATACATAATTTTCTTAGATTTTTCCTAAAATTCTTCTTTTAAGGGCAACAAATCTATTAATAATAATCAGTAAATTAAAAGCTAACTAAATATTATTGTTATATACATATGCACATTCATGGATCTACAATCTGTCGGTACCTGTATCTTGGCATTGCACAAGGTCATGTTTTTCTCTGACTGTTTATGAGGTCTTTACACTAAATCCATTGGATGTTGGATGTGTAATGATTGATAATTTAGTCTTAGATGCATGATTTTTTTATTAGTTGTTATTGGCTTTGAACTAGCTGTCAGTAACTGCGAGTACTCTCAGATCTGTACTTAGTGTCTTTTTGTTGTTGGGATGTACAAGTACCCGGCCACGTCCACTCTGTGTTTTCGTTAGATGTATTTCTATTTGTATCCATCTGATGAGTTGAGCCTTTTTCAACTGATTTTCATAGTTTGTTCTTATGCTGTACCGTTACACCACTGTCCCAGGTTAGGGGAGGGTTGGCGCCTTCAAACTAGTTTAACCCCGCCACATTCTGTATTCTGTATGTATGTGTCTGTCCCAAGTCAGGAGCTTGTAATTTAGTGGTTGTTATTTGTTGATGTGTTACATATTTGTTTTTCGTTCATTGTTTTGTACATAAATTAGGCTGTTAGTTTTTCTCGTTTGAATTGTTTTACATTTGTCTTTTCAAGGCCTTTTATAGCTGACTATGCGGTATGGGCTTTGCTCATTGTTAAATGACGTACCGTGACCTATAGTTGTTAATTTCTGTGTCATTTTGTCTCTTGCGAAGAGTTGCCTCATTGGTAATCATACCACATCCTCTTTTTTATATGTATAAAAAAATTTTAAATAACATATCTCAGTATGTTTACATCCAACTTTCTTACCCTATCCATGTTGAGTATAGTCTTTCTTGTGGTGCAGAAATCTGAAATATTAAGAATCTTTTAAATGAGGACAAAAATAAATTCTTTTTTCAGTGAAACTTGTGTCACAGGAAAACATAAGTCTGTTTCACATAGTTTCAAGTAGGTATAGAAGTTTGCATTGAAATTAAATATACTTATGTGACAGAACTGTAATTGATCTTTAGTCCGTCATCAAATCGCTACAGTTGGGGAAAATTTTTTTTTTTGGATTTCTGTGATATAAATCTATCAAATATCATGATACTATTTAATTCTCCATACACTCTTTGATATCTCTCAATCCAAGTCCTGTCAAAACTTCAAGTACCTATCACGATTCAGGAACCTCGTCAGCGGTTGGCAAAAATTAAGTCTTAAATTTTTTTGTCTTGCAGGGAATTCAATGTAAACAGCAGTTAGTTGATAGTTTCTGGTATAAAATTCGACCACAACGTTTCTAAGACATTGGGTGCTGTATAGCATGATATTTCATAAAGACATGTGTCCATATTTGAAGTCCTAATGTTGACAACTATATGTCTTTAGATTTTTGTGTTTTTAAGTTGCAGTCTCTTTGAGAAATACTTCACCATCTTATATCCGTCTTTGATCAGAGTGTGAAGTAAAAGATTTATTTTTGTTTATAGTAGAGATAACTGTTTAGGATTTTAACACATTTATTTTCACAGTAAGTCATTTCTCTTTAATTCTTAAATACAATACTTTATTCTCTAAAAACCAATACAATCAAAGGTACAAAGAATGGCAAAAAATACCCCAAAAAAAACAAAAAGCAACATTGTAGTGTGGTTTAGCCAGGAGAACCGATTTTCTCGTTATTCTAATTAGTTTACCCAATCTTTTAAGAAGAGAAATTTTCTTTGTGTTAAAAAGTTTCTGAAGTTTTATTACATTTGAGTGACATGAAAAATATGGAGGTAAATACAGTTTCCTTTCATTTTTCAGATTTGATTTATAAACTGCTAAATCATCTACTCACCCTAATCTTTATATCTTTTGGTGTTATTTTCTTTACTTCACTCAGCAAACGATCTCCAAATCCTAAAATACAAATGACATATTATATTTAACTATCTTAAATTCAAATATGGCATAATATACACATATGATATTGATCAATGTGTGCATAGCATATACACATACTTCTGGAATAATTTCATTAGGTACACTTGAGGCTAAATGTCTGGAAACAAAAAATATACATTTATGACCTGATTCCTCAGTGTGCAGTCAGCAAATAAAACTGCTGACTAACCATTTGAGTCCCAAATTGAAATAAAATCTTTTTGGAACCACATGTTATTGTATGAACTAAAGATTGCTTAGGACAGACAAGGTTTTAAATCTGATCAAAACCAAATGATGAAAAGTTGTAGATGACCTTCAATAAACCATTCCTGTCATGTTTGGTTAAAATTGAAAGAGTAGTTTCAGGGAAAATGATGAAAATTAGATTAATCATTTGAGTTTTAATGTAAACTATGTCCAAGAAAATTTAGCCAACCAATCATGATCAAATGAAGACTATTGGTAGAGGATTTCTAAATCATCCATATCCTGATGTGTCAAAATATTTTGCCTTTTAAGTTCTTCAGAGAAGTTTTTCTAAACTGACCAAACAGAAGTTAAGATTGACTCAGGCAAGCATGCATGTAAATGGGACCCAAATCAGGATCATTTTACACGATCTTCCATACATTACTAAATTAATTTGTTTGAAATTGTCAAAGTATAGGATTTCTATTCAAAATTAGTGCCATCAACTGCAAATGAGTTTTCATAAAAGAATTTTCAAATCTTTCTCCTGCTCCACTAGTTGTCATAGTTGCCAACTGACATGATATTCGTGTGTAATACACGCTTTTTCAACGGTTTACACACCAGGATTTTATCACATGGCGTGTGCACGCTTTTCACCACTTTACACTCAATATACACGCTTTTTCGTTGTGTTGATTTTTTGGTTGTTAGTGATATCGCGATTCTCAGGTTTTTTCATTATAACACGATAAATACAGAAATTTCGAAGTAATTGTTTGGTGGCCATTGTTTATTTTTCTATATGGACGAACAGCAAAAGCTCTTAAGGTAAGTAGTTTGTGATTAGTTTTTACGATTTTGGGACTTTCTTTCTTTCAAATTCACTTAGGGGAAATGTCCACAGAAAGAGGTAGCTTTCAGGACCTGTACCGTCGTCTAAAGAGCCGATTTCTAAGCGAAAACGATGTGTACGTACCAAGATTCAAGATATAAATTATATTTGGGAGTTCGAGTTTAAATCATCGAGGGATGAGTAACGCATTGTGCACTCTATGTTGCAATCATAACAATACATATGAGAGGAGGACTAAAATACATAGCTATTTGATTAAGCATTTAACAATTATAAAATATTTTTCTTTTTCAGTTTCAAATGTAGCCAACAGATTTCCACAGGCCATAGGGGATGGAAATATCACAGAACTGTTGGATCAGTTCTCATAGTATTAGCTGTCTTCTGATGAACTACCCAGTTTTGACCAGGCAATAGCAACATATATTGTATAGTTTGTTGGGAGCAATGGCAGAGATCAAAGATGGCATTTTAGATGGCAAAAAAACATTATGACACTCTTTCAAAGCTTCATGAAGCTATTTTAGTTCAGCCAAACATCAATTCTGACTGTGAGAGATCATTTTCAATTATAAAGAAATTTACACTGAATTCTGATCAGAACTCGACAATGATATATTGTGTGCCTTGTTATCAAGTAAATGTAACCAAACCAGCAGGTGTTTCGACTATGTGCCTAGTGGTGTTGCATTAAAGGCAGCAAAACAGACCACTGTTGAATACAATAAAAGTTTACAGTTGAATATTGATTTTTATATTAACAAATTTGCATATAATGTGAAATTATGAACATTGTTCATATTAAAAAGTCTGCATCTACGTCACACGTTTTCACACGCTTTTTGACATGTCATGTCATGTCATGACATGATTTCTCATTGTCAGAGGTTGGCAAGTATGCTAGTTGTTAATCTAATTACTATCAATAAATCTTCATCATTACTACCAAATTTTGTGCAATTTTGCTTGGATATTTTATATTAAAGTAAAATCTCTAATAATGGACAGCTCACAGACAGGACAGACAACAGATGCAAAGTGATCACTATTATTCTCTCTGAGCCAGGTGAGATAAAGCCTTGTAACTGACATATTATCTTTTATAACTTAATTTTGTTTGTCCATTTGAATTAATTTTTTTATTATGACACCTTGATTATCTCTTAGTATCACATGGTAGGAGCCATTTTAAATTTTCCGTAAGGGCTCTTTTGTTTCTTTTGGTAAAGGCAGGTGATAAACTAAAGGTTAGCCTAAATAATAAAAAAAATTTCTTCTTAAGTACAATAATCACTGTCTAGACATATTGAGTAATAAGAAGTAGTTTTGCACACATACATTTATGAACAAACTAACCTTTAAATAAAGTTGACCCTCCAGATAATACTATATTCGAGTATAATATTCGCCGTAAGTCCATGTCAGATCTCTGTATTGCGTATGTTAGAACTTCATGGATTCCTTCAAATTCTTCTCCAATTAAATCGGGTCTAAATAGTAATTCTGGTGCTCTAAATCTAGATGGCCCCAACTGAAATATTAAAAAAAACATATTCAGGCCTCATAATATAGTAGTATATAAAATAAGTTATACTTAAAAAACAAATTGTTAGTGCATGACATTTTTTACAGAGTTATGATACCTTTGACTGTGGTTAAAAATTACTCTGTTTATTACTGTACATGGCTTAAATTTCCACATGTGACATTAATATTGATATTCATATTTGAACTTCACAGGTTACACAAAATGAGTTTCTTTGATGGATTTTTTTTTAAATTACAAGACCTATTTGGGGTCATTCACCATTTAGTACAGATAGCCAGTATTCTTGCACTATTTAAAAGACAACTGTATCATAATTTAAGATTGGCCTCCTTCAAACATTGGTTTTACTGTTGCAAATTGAGTTTACCTAGCAATGTGTGGTGTTTTTTGGGGGTTTGTGAATGCATTAGAATTGAATAAAAGTTGACAGAGGTGACTTTCAAATGAGAATAGTGACAATTTTGTTTGACAAATCCAGAATTAAGCATGGCAGTTTCCATTAGTTATAGACAGGTAGCTTATGAATTTAAAGCTGGTTGTTATAATCAGATCAGTTGATACCAAAAAAAAAAACACATCAAAATTATTAAGGTTTTAACAAGAAATATATGCATTTTGAAAACAGACAATTAATTTATACTTTGTTAATATCTTAGTCAATCAAGCTGTTGAGGATCAGTTATTTGTTGATATGTCTAATCAAGAGTTTATTTTCCTTTGCTCAACTTGTCATTATTTTCATATAATTCACAGAAAATATATATTCCTTTTCTTCCTTTACTTGTTAAATATTCTTTTTTGAAACACAGGCACTATCACATTGTGTTAATGGCCTCATTGTGACTTTGAGATGAAGAACAGCCATAAACATACTCTTCCTTTTCTTTGGGTATTGTTGAGTGTATGCAAATATTTGTGTCAATCATACGTTTTTACATTACAAAAATTGTCTTGTCCATCAACATTTCTCAACCCCATCCAAAAGCATTTTCTGCTACTAATGCTTATGTTACCTCTATAAAACTATTGTCAGGTAATGTATACTGGGATTTTTCTCTAGCCTATACTTATGATCATGTTACCTCTATAGAACTACCCTCAGGTAATGTATACTGTTTTTTTTCTCTAGCCTATACTTATTACCATGCTACCTCTATAGAACTATTGTCAGGTAATGTATACTGGGATTTTTCTCTAGCCTATACTTATGATCATGTTACCTCTATAGAACTATTGTCAGGTAATGTATACTGGGATTTTTCTCTAGCCTATACTTATGATCATGTTACCTCTATAGAACTACCGTCAGGTAATGTATACTGGGATTTTTCTCTAGCCTATACTTATTATCATGTTACCTTTATAGAACTACCGTCCGGTAATGTATACTGGGATTTTTCTCTAGCCTATACTTATTATCATGTTACCTCTATAGAACTACCATCAGGTAATGTATACTGGGATTTTTCTCCAGCCTATACTTATTATCATGTTACCTCTATAGAACTACCGTCAGGTAATGTATACTGGGATTTTTCTCTAGCCTATACTTATTATCATGTTACCTCTATAGAACTACCGTCAGGTAATGTATACTGGGATTTTTCTCTAGCCTATACTTATTATCATGTTACCTCTATAGAACTAACGTCAGGTAATGTATACTGGGATTTTTCTCTAGCCTATACTTATTATCATGTTACCTCTATAGAACTACCGTCAGGTAATGTATACTGGGATTTTTCTCTAGCCTATACTTATTATCATGTTACCTCTATAGAACTACCGTCAGGTAATGTATACTGGGATTTTTCTCCTTCCATCGATTCTTCTTTCAATGGATTTAAAGATAAATAACAGGCTCTCTGAAAGCACAAAGAATTACAATCATTGTATATATATAGTCAACATATTAAAATTTGTGTTTCAATGATTATAATGCAAGTAAACTGAACAACAACTCTGGTATACACTTGAATCAAACAGCATTTTAATTACAACAGCAGTTTACCTCTTAGAACTAGATGGTTAAAATTTACCTTGCTTATAAATCATATTTTAAAGAAAAGTACTTAAAATCTAATTTTGTCAAATGTACCTTGCTATTTCTACCTGCATATAAAAATTCCTGATGGTACATACCGGGTATATGTACATTAACCTATCAAAGGCTTATCAATATGGAACACAATGTACTTCTAAATTTTAATGTGTAGACTTTGAAGGCAAAGCTAGTGTCAGATGATTTTTTATATCAAACAAAAAAAATTCTGCCACACTGTACTAAAATGAATAATAATGAATCCTATGAGGTCATTGTTCATTATACATTTCAAAAGAAATTATTATATTGTAGATGTGATGACCATCTTAATCTATGTTTTACTCACACAAAAATTGTTTTTAAAACAAATTACAAGGAATAAATCAGTCTTTTTTTCAACCAAAAAACTGTTTTAGGAACCTTTATGAGATGGTGACACCCCCTCCCATATTCCGCACCTCAGTAATTTAAAAAATTAAACTACATGAAACATGAAACTCAAATGAGGACTTAAAATTGTGTCCACTTTGCAGATGTTCACTGAAGGCTTAAATCCAACCATTCTGATACAAGAAAAAATGTTTTTGTAATAGTCAGGATTTGGTTCCATATATAGACAGGACAGGGGGCTCATAATCCCCCTACTACCCCACACCCATCAAATTTATGTGTTTTTTTTTAATACTTTTTTTTTATTATGACTGTAAGGTCTATCCAACCCTTATATTTTTTTGAAGGGCATTGCCACCTTACTTAAACATGTTAACAATAATCTACCTGTTTAATAGTTCTAACAATTTCTAGTTCTGCAGATGTGTGAAAATTATGTCCTTCTTTTCTCAGTAACAATCTGAGATATCTAGTGACATCTCTACCAGCTATATCTGACCGTATAATACTATGTGGCATAGCAAATCCTTCATATATAGGTACAGCATGTGTTACACCATCCCCAGAATCTAGTACTGCTCCGGTTGTTCTTCCTGTAGCATACCTGAAACATTTTCATAAATAACTTTTTTCATAAATACAATCGGATTAAATAGCAACTGCTGCATTCTAATGGCCGCATTTACAGAAGTATCATAACATTATACTCCTAATACTGGTTCCTGATGACCATCTACAATGGTTGTTATCTGGAACCAGTTTTGCTTAAAATTACTTCCCATGGGTTTGGTTCATTTGTAGCAGAACAATCAAGAAAGGTTCCATGAATAAAACTGAGTGCTGATTGCTAGGGATTGGACTCGCATGCCAGTAGTCCAATCCCGGGGTTTAATTTATAAAATAATTTGTGTTCATCAAGGAAATGAGTGAAATGCTCATCTTCTAATTGTATATTTGTAGATTTTGTTTGATATTCTGGTTTACCTTACAATTCAGAATAAAATGAGATTTATCTTCGATGACTACCATTTGATGATACATGTTTCTGAATAAGCTTCTATGTATCTTTTTTGGCAAAGAAACATAAATGTAAACCAAATATGAATTCACCATTTTTCTTTTCATAAAACAACTTTTGAAACTTCAAAAATCCATAATGGAAATAGATATTCTGCCTTTCTTCTGGATATTAGATCATTTGTTCTCTTAACTGCTCTTTGCATGATACACATTCTATGTAGACTAGTTTATAAGATGTCAGTAGCTACATAAAGTTAATTATAGTAGATATATGTCAATGAGACAACAAATACACAACACACACGTCTCTTAAAATTGGCATCACAATAATTGTACATGATTAATTGTTTTTGTTTAAAGCTTTTAGATTAAATCAAGCCTTTGGTTTCCTCTTTTGTTGAACTTTTCACATTTTGTTTTCTGAGTTTTTTACAGCTTACAACACAATTTGTGTTTAGCTCAATGTTGAAGACTGTACTGTTCAATGGTTGTCTTACTGACAAATACTTGTCCTTTGGTGTCAATGGATAGTTTTTTCATTAGAAAACATGTCAGATCTCTATTTTTATACATAACCAATCATATAACAATAGTCTAAAACTGGTTCTCCATATGTCAGGTTATTTCCACTTTAAGTTTCACTATTTTAATGTTGTTAAAATTTGTACATTTTACAAACAACATTTACTTACAAACTTAAAACTGCTTGCATGGATATAAATAAAGCTGGGACATTAAAAGTTTCAAAGAATATTTCGGCAGCCTTTTCTCTGTTTCTTCTTGGATTTAATGGGGCTTCTGTCAGTAGAACTGGATGCTACAAAAATTTGGAAAAAAAATCATAAATACATGTACAATAAACATGCATTTCTATTTTTCTATAGCTATACAGGGAATTAACTTATAATTTAAGATTAAAGAGAAATGTATACTGCTATGTGAAATGTGAATGACCTGAAATTATGGAAATTCATTATATACCACTAGCTACTCCTCACTTAAACATTCTAGACATACAGATTTTTTTTAAATGTTCTTTTGGTGTCCTGGGTTTAAAACCAATCACTCATATCTACAACTTACTTGAACTTGTTACTTCATGACTTTCTTTTCAAATATTCTAACTTTATTGACCTGTTGTTATCTCAGTTAAGTAACATATCCTTTGGACAACTATTTAAGAATAAGTAAATCCACATTTTCAACCTTACCTTTATTTTTGTTACCTCTCTGTATTTTTCCTATGCAATCAATCAAAACATTTAGCACAACAGCTTTCACATTTCCCAACATTTTTATACAATATACATATCAATTTTTTTTATTTTTATCATAGAGTTTAACATTCATTACTTCCCATAAATTCAAATCCACAGACAAACTTTTTTTATACATCATAAGTTCTAGTTTTTCAAATACTTTATCTCCAAAAGAACCAAGCCACTTGATTGATCTTCATTTTCAGAATTATGATGTTTTATACATTATGTATTGAAAACAAACCTTCATTTTATGAACCTGTTCTTATTCTGAATTTCAGAAGTCATCCAAACATTTAAGAGGATAATTAGCATCATCAGTGCATATATATACATTCTCATGAATAATATTAATTATAATAATAATACTGTTTCTGACCACAGTGGAGTGAGCATTAATACTTTACATCATGGACATTCGAGGGATTACATAAAAGTACATTATTTTTAAAATGGTACGTCTTTTTCACAAACGGATACAAGTGAGATTTCACTATGGCAACTGCAAATGCAAATTTAATTCATCAATTTTTTTTTATTAAGACCATATAAAAAATGCCAAAAAGAAATAGGGATGCATATGCATCCAACATCCACTGTCTTCTGAACTACATTCCAGGATCTATGCCTGAGGATTACGATATCAAGTCAATATACCTGACACATACGATGTACTTAGATTTGCACATTATACATTTCATTACAACATACCTCTTCTGAGAATGTTTGTAGTTGGTCTTTGGAATATATATACTGCCAGATTCTTTCCATATCATTCCAGTCCTGTACAATACCATGTTCCATAGGATATTTTATTGTTAATAGACCTCTGTGTTCCTGTTCAACAGAATGAAGAATTTATTCATTTAAAATTAAAAGGGTTAAATTTTGAAATAAGTCGAGTCTAGGAAACTGCTGTAGCACATAATGTGCATGCTAAATAAGTTCAAACATTTAAAATCAAGAGGACACCATATATAGATCAAACACAAGTGACTGCTTATATAACTCATCGGTTGGTAGAAGGATATTACTGTTTCATTCAATCCTTTATTGACCCATTTTGATTCTCAGTTTTAATAGAAAACTCAAAAGGGTGCATTACCTTTTAAGCTGATCCAAATTGAACATTGTAAAATAAGGCAAAAGTTAGTCGAACAAAACTGATCAATCTATAATTAATGTCTAAGTACTGTGAATTTAGAAAGTTTTGTGAAAAAACATGACTGGATAGGTTTCGCAAAAATAAAATCTTGCATTTTAAATTTTGATTTACAGCATTTACAGAATCGCAATAATTAATCTCACATTTGCGTCCCAATTTCAACAATCACATTTTAAATTCACCCAAGAATTTCTGAATTTACAGTATACCATACCTCTGCATCAGGTCCAAGGAAAACATCCCCCTCCAGAGCACCTGCCATAACACGTACATGTTTAGGTCTACCTATGCTGTAAATATAAAATTTCATCAAATATACATCATTGTACATAAGGCATTTTGTTTTCTCTTTAAATAGTTTCACACTTTATCATGTTTGTTATCCTGGGCTTTTCACAGCTTAGTTTATGGTAATAAGCCTGGTATCTTTGATGAGTTTTTCTCTCATTGTTGAAGGCTGTACATTGACCTGTTATTGTATACATCTTTGTCCTTTGGTCTTTGATGGATAGTTGTCTCATTGGCAATCATACCATCATGTCTTTAACCAGTCACAATGAATTGATAGACAATATTTTTAAGTAGAGCTAGTCACTACATATAGTAATTCAATGATATAATTCTCACACAAGTGATTAAGTATACCTCCTAACGGTAACCAAAGCAGGTAACTGCTTTACTTCTGTCTAACTGCCCCATGAAGTTTTCATAACATTTTCTAAGTAACTACATATTTCAGAAAGCCCTGATTTGTAGTTCTGAGAAAAATGGGATGAAAATTTCATACATGGCCATTATGTGTAAGAATATATATAAGTATATGCATGGTAAACAGGAAGTTGTTGAGGGAATAATCTGAAAATGCATCACACAGAAATCCATGCTCATAACACAAAAATATTTACAAAATTTCAGACAGCTCTGATTTGTAGTTCCTTAAAAAAGTGTGACACAAAATTCATGGGAGGATCTCCTTAAAAAAGTGTGACACAAAATTCATGGGAGGATCTCCTTGAAAAAGTGTCACACAAAGTTCATGGGAGGATCTCCTTGAAAAAGTGTGACACAAAGTTCATGGGAGGATCTCCTTGAAAAGGAAGCATCTATGCATATATGTAATAGTAGACTGAAATCAGATATATAATAAATTGCTTCGCCAAGGGCAGCTGGATACGACCGCAGAGGTCCAACCCTGAACAGTTGGGGCAAAAATGGACACAATATTCTCGCTTGATACAGGTCTGAATTTGGATTGTAATTAAATATTTGACACATAATAGGTTTCTGACACAGAATAACTGTAGTCAAAGAACTTAGAATTGGTTATATAATTTGAATTTATATTCAATTTTTTGTTTTTGAGCAATACACTTTGCCGTTGCGAATTGACCCCCCTCCCCTTTTTTTGCAAAAAAAGAAAAATATTTGAAGAAATTTTCTTTTTAATTCCTGAATTCTGAAATGAGAAAAAATCGTCCCCCCCCCATTTTTTTTCACGCCCCCCCACCCTTTTTCCAAAAAAAATAAATGGCCCCGATTGCATATCATATAAACTTACAAAGGGACATAACTGAAGAATGGTAACAGTGACGCTACCCAAATTTGTTATCGATCTGAGTTTTGTGTTAATAAGCATTGTGTATAAGTTACAGAACAAATAAAAACGAAAAATTCAGCAACGGTTAAAGTGACACCACCAAAATTCAAACTTGATCTGTATTTTGTGGTAATAAGCATTGTGTATTAGTTTCATAACATTTATTTGAGGCAAACTAAAGTTAGAGAATGGAACCGAAAAATTCAGCAATTTTTCCATTTGTAAAGGGGCATAACTCTAGAACAGTTAAAGTGACACCATCAAAATTCAAACTTGATCTGTATTTTGAGGTAATAAGCATTGGGTATAAGTTTCATAACATTTGGTTGAGACAAACTAAAGTTAGCTATGGCGTGGCATAAAAATTCTTTCCCTCAAGATATGGTCATAATCTCAATTCAAATTTCCAATGGAGTTTGCAACCATAATTACCTATTTAAATACATCATAAAAGTCTTAAAATAGAAAATGACATACATAATCATGGCTAAAATTAATATTCCTTAATCACCATTTTTAAATAGTAACTTCTAAAAATAAATTGACAGCTAATCACCTCAAGACAATACAACATTTCTTTATGCATAATTTAAAAGCAGTGAAAGGGAGGTAATCCAAACATAACATTGTACTTTTTTTTAATTGTCCATTAACCAGGAAACCCTTGTTTTTCCCCCTTTTCTGCCCCTAATTCCTAAAAGGTTTGAGCCATAACCCCCCAAAGCCAATCCTAACCATCCCTTTGAGGTATGGAAACTTGTCAGGGGCGTAGCTAGGCCAATATGATGTGTACTCAATGCCGGAGGAGGAATTCAAATGGCAGGGGGTTGTGGGGCCGCTTAAGGCCCCCAGAAGCTCTGGGTAAATGGTGCAAAATCCTGCATTCTCGCAATTTCCTGGAACTTAAAATGACCTCACCGTAATCTTATTTTCATGAGTAACAAGTCAACTTTTGAAAATAAATTTGAAAAAAAAAATTAATAAGAGAAAAATAAACAAGTATAGTTGGCTTAGGAATTTGGATTTTCTAATGTGTAGTGGATTGAGCTTGATTAAATTAAATTAAAAATAATATTCTTTGCTAGCTAGTTAGTTATATTAAGGTTAAAAGGGGTGGTACTTGCACGGAAAAAAACGTTAAATACAAAGAAGGAATAACAATTGCACGGTGAACGTGAAATAATTTCGTCCATGAACGTTGATAAAAAAAAGTACATGTACTATAACGAACGCATACTAGTATCATAGGTTGGAAACCATTAACTGGCAAGTATATAATATATTCGTGTTAAGTCCCGAAATCTATAAGGAAATCATCAAATTATTTCCGATTTCTTTTTATTAACTTCCAAAACGATAGTCTTTTAATTTTACCAAGAACGGAAAACAAGCACTTTAAATCTTGAATCCTTGAAAATAAGCACTTTTAATCTCGAAGCAGGTATAATTAGGTTGGGGGGGGGGGGGGCACTTTGAACGAAGCACCCGTCTTGCACAACCGAACGTAAGAGTAAAAACTCGTTGATCGTCAATTTAAATAAATAAAAAAAAAACAAGCACGATGCACGAAAATAACCCTTTATCAACCCCGTTAAACTTGTCTGACCGGACTGTTTAAAAAATCTGTTATGACGACATATGTAATTAAGACTATACATACATCACAGGAAAATCATAAAAATGAATCGTTGCCCATAGTCTCTTTAGAACGTCATATTATTTCGTCAGTTATTTTGAAATCTTTAGAAAAGATGTCAGGACTGGGTAAGGAGGCATAGAATTGATTTTTGACACCTCGAGGACCATTTTAATTGTTTGCATCAGCAACATAATCATGATGTTGGTTCCGTAAATGAAAAGTAATTTCAGGAACGGAATATAGCTACAAAGTGATTATTCACATGTTTGTATAAAAGTTTTCAATTCAATTTATTACTGAGTTTTATTCTTACTAGATTAACCATATTTTTATTTTTGTAAAATTTTCGATGTGTACGCAACTGCGTTTTTGCGTACGGGTTGCTACGCGCCTGCTTGTGGTATAATTTCAGAGAGATCTATACAACGTTCCACAAGTTATTGTATGGAAACTAGAAAAATGATTATTTGGGCACCTTTTTGGCCCCTTATTCCTACACGGTTAGGACTATAGCCCCCTAATCAATCACAACCTTCCTTTTGTGGTTTTAAACCTTGTGTTGAAATTTCAAAGATTTCTATTTACATTTACTAAAGTTATTGTCCGGAAACCAAATGTCTTCGGATGACGCTGACAACGACGTGATACCAATATACGACCGCAAATTTTTTTGCGGTCCTACAAAAAGTTGAATTATATCTTTGTCTTTTTCTGAACAAGAGGCTCAATTATCAAAGGTAAATGCAAGAAGTGTTGTCTTAATAGCATTTTAATTCAAGTCTAACTTTAAAGATCTAAAGCAAAATGGTCCTGGTGTCTGCTCACTTGTGAATATTTAAGCTATTGAACTTTTCAAAATATGACTGATAATTTAATGTGGTTAAAATTTACAAGAAAATAATTGCAAACAATGGAGTTGATATATGAAATCCAGCAACTATCTATTTTATTGTACACAAGTGTTAGAATAATAAGCTACTAGTTACTATACTGAAATTTAATCCATCAATCTAACATTTAGGATGACAAATACAAATATAAGTCTATTTCTGAATATTGATTTCTGAAGACATAGTCATATATATGAAAAAAACATTAAAATAAAAAATCATTTTTCTACTCCACAATCTTATCTTAACAGTAACAGCTGTGTCACCTGCACTTTGATATAGTATATCGATTTAAAAAAACAATTAAACTGAAAACAATTTATTGATCAGTTATGGAATGTAACAATAGTTACATGTAATCAAGCTTGTGTCTACACCACATTACATTGTTAGAACAATTTTGCATGCCCTGGGCATGGTTCTGCCTAAAATATTGTCAATTAAATATGCATGTTTAATATTTCTATTCACTTGATGTTAAGCAAGCCCATCAATTATACATATCTATACTATTAAATGAGAAGACCTCATTTTGTGTGTCCCTTTTCTTCCTTCCACAATAAATTAATCATCATGCCTCTGTGCCCTATAGATACCATGTATAGTTGCATTTGTCATACTCGCTTATGATTATTCCGTTTGGGTTAATTTTGGAGGAAAACAAAAATAATGGCGTCCAGATATTGTTTCTGGAAATATTATAGGACGTACTTTTAAGTCATAGACAAGACTTCCGTTTAGGACTGTTTAAAACTACACAGAATTTTGGTAAATTTACAAACAACCCTTAATTCCTAACTTGATTAAATACAATGTTTTGGGTACCTGAGCTACAGGAACCGGTATTAAACAAAGCCTGGATGCGATAAAATTCCGATTTCTTGGGACCCCTGGAACTGGTATATAATCATGTTTTATTTTTAAGAAATAATGGCCTGGGTTGTTATATTGGAATTTTATCCCGAGCTTACGGATAAAATTAACGAAAATAATGACCCAGGCCATGTGAAAATGAAAACAATTCTATGGAATGCATGAATTATTTTGATTCCAATATGGTAAAGTTTCTCACTGAAAACTGACGCCATTTCAGTAAAATATTGTGCACAAATCGCATTGTGACGTCGTCGATTTATAGCGGTTGTGGTTTATAGAGTATTTTATAATGGCTCTATTCTTATGAGGTAATAAGCACCCCATATTAGAATTAATTTGCTTTCTTAAAAGTCAACACCTTATTAAGTCTGGCGCCATTTCCATATTTCAGTAAAATATGACGATTTTGTGCACAAATCGCATTGATTATTGAGTATTTTATTATGGCTCTATTCATAATTCCAATGTTATTTGCAAATATCACAAAATAATCTGATTTCTTTGGTGGAATCTGTTTCTAGTGACTGAAATTGAACAGGTTAACATATAGATTATTCTGTCTTCTGTACAACGAAATAAAAAGCATGGTGACAAAGCAACTCGCCTCCTGAAAATTGTGCGTTCATGTTACTACAAATAGTTGACCTTTGCGTTGACATTCTTTAGATTTACATCCAATATTTTGAACTGGTGAAAAATTCAAAACATTATATTGACATCAGTTAATGTTTATTTACTTTTGATACATTTCCTGAAATTCTCCACATAAAATCTTTTAAAAAAATTCATCCTACAACAGTTTACATACTTTCAACCATGCTCTAAATGCCTGCGATTTCGTGGGTGTGTTCTAGTTACTTTTAATACTAAGCAATTGATGTTGTTTTGACATTTTTCTATAGTTGTTAACCTTAAACCAAGGAACATACTGTTGTCTGGAACACCTCTAGGTTTGCCAATATAAAATTTATAAAGTAAATAACACATGTCAGTGTTAAAATCTGTATAATATTATATTGACCAAAGTTCTAGATTGGTCACTATCTTATTAATTGGGTATTGCAATTATTTTATTTCCTTTAAGAATTGAATATACAATACCTTGGGAAATGTGTTTAGTTTGAGTCTTTTGTATAAAATATTTTAAATCATTTTTACCAAATTTTTTACTGATCAGGTGGGCAGGAAGGAATGAAAATCCTCCCAAGTCCTGAGCTGTAGAGCATGATTTAACTGACTTGTTTAAACATTACAAAATATGCCTACATAATTATGTGTAAAATATTGACTGTTTTATGTTAGCAAATTCTGTTAAATCCAAAAAGGGGAACATCTTCTACTGATATCATGAACCTAGTTTACACTAATAATACTGTCTTCACCATCACCATACTATAAGCCTTTTTTTTTAATAATAAACCGTTTTCTATACATTTCACGACTGAACTCAAAATAATAAATTAGAAAATAAACAGGAGTGCAGGTCTTGTACCTTCAAAAATATAATGCTTCATACAAATAGTTTATGCTGCCACCGCCAGATTGTAATCACTCGGTATTGCAGTCACAAGCAATTCAAAAACTTGAAGCGTGCAAAAAATTATCGGTAGCTGCTATACAAAGTCTATATTTTCCTCATCAATTAAAAGCATACACCAATCAGCTGTAATTTTTTTTCACTTGTGCAATACTAAAGTAACATAGTTTGTCTTTTCAGGCCAATTTTACAAAAATAAAGAAGATAAGAATCAATGGCAGTCTCTTTCGGTATTTCACAAAAAGTTTGTATACATGCATGACATGTATGTTTAACTGATATTAAAACCAGAAATTACTAATTCCTGAGCATTTTTGATTTAATTTTGGAGAATCTGCTTAATTCTTTTACTATATATAATTACATGTATTCTACTATCCTGTATCCTTGACATACTTACAAATTTGGGAAATGATGTTTTGGTATTTGATCCCCAGCAAATCCAGCTTTGATAAGACCAGACCCCTGAAAATTAAAATAGAAAACAATGAAGTACAGTTCTAACAGCAGATTTACAGTTTTATCCCATCATGTCTATTGTATCAAGGTAAGGCAATCCTCTCCAAAATTTGCTTTAGAGACTGCCAATGGTACCGGTAAATTAGAAATGGCAGTTGATAAATGTCAAGATGGAAAACAGAGGATGTTTAAATGTAATCAATGCTAACAGCCCTGATAATGGTCAGCCACTACATGTACATAAAGTAGTAGATATTGACATGCCCCAAATACATGGGTTCCTTTTTAAATTTGAATCATGAAATACACCACTGTGTATATGTATAGCGTTAAATTCTAAATTTACAGACTTATCATGCTTATGTTTGTATACACACATATTTAATTAAATATTCTAATATGACGTCCTTCAAATGCTTTTGGTTCATACCCACAGTAAAATACGCATAAATTGTATGACAGCTGATTGGAAGAGTAAAAATTTGTTTTGGCATTTCCAACTTACTCAGTCATTGGCAGTTTTAAATAAACACGAAAACATATAAACAGACAAATAGTTGAAAGCATGATTGCTTAAATAAAATCAGATTTATAAGTATCCGTCATTATATGTTCAGTTAGTAAGTAATTAATTTTTTTACATAATTACTTGTTGGAAAATGCAGGCAGTACCACTGATTCAGTCTTGAGTGCCAGCTGGAACATTAGTAGAAATGAAAGGGGAAAGTTTCAAAATTGTGAACTATGAAAAACCTTGCAAACATCATAACCGCCTGTAGTTTAAGCATGTTACTGTGACAGTGGTCACTTTGTTTACTTTTTTATACTATTTAGTTGGGGAAATTGTTTAAAGTTAGTATATATATAGTTCCATATCTATTTCTCCCAAGACCAGCTATGTAAATATTCTTGTCAGGTTTCTTCCTGGTTCTTGCACGTGCTCAAAATCCCAGCTGGGCTAGTTGTCCCATATGACATCACTCATCAGGTTGGGAAGTGTCTACCACTCAAGATTTGAAATGATCAGACACTCATACTTTGGTTTGCAGATATAGAATATTTTATAAGGCAACAAGTCGACTAGCCACCACCATGACCACAGTATTTCTATATTTATTGTATGTAAACTTGTGTTCAATCATAACATCTTGTTTAAACAGTTATTTAGTTTGTCCAATATCCCAGAACTTGGGTAGACAACAGGAAGACAAAGAATCAGTAGAAAATCACACTCCTGTTACATTGTACATTACTTTAATAGTCTGTTTTTTGCCTTTTACATCAATATTTGTAGTGTGTTCAATTTTGGGAACAGTAACTACATGCCTTGAAGACCCTTGATCTAAAGCACTTTTGAAAAAAAAAAAAAAATTAGCCTGTAATTGACCTATTAGAATAGAAATAATTATAGGGATAGAAATTGTGGAGTTATCTACTTTTCCAATAATAATGTCTGCCATGTTGTTAGGACAAGGAACTTGCATACAAGACAATCATATTACTGAAGTCAAATTTTACATTTATTAAGTAAAAGTGACATATATCTACAAATGATAAAGTCTTTATTATCACTAAACGCAGTATAATAGAGTTTTGGGGTAATATCTATCAATACTCAGGTTTTTAATCAGGTTTGTGAAGTTTCCAGGATATTTTTGTACTCATAATTTGGGGCATTAAAGGTACCCAACCGATATCGGTTTCGTTCGCTCCCAATACACATTCGCACCCCACAGGTTCGCCCCCTGGGTTTGTTCGCCATCTGGGTTTGTTTGCCCCTATCTTTATTTAGATACTGGTTGAATTATTAAATGTTTTTTTTAGATGTCTTTATCAAAATATTTAAATTTTCATAAATAAAGATTCAGGAATTTTTAAAATGATTTTTTTTTTGGGGGGCGATTTGACGATTAATTATTAAATGTTAATTATGTATGATTACTGTAAATTGGTATTTTCAAAGCCAAATTTGGTATTATTGTTCTGTGTTTGAAAATCATGATTGTTGTTATAACTAGCTTTGATGTAAATACTGCATATAATTAGCTTGGTATGAGTAAACTCAATGAAGATTTGGTATCTTCCACCTTTCTTTTACAAGTCTTTGATGAATTAACTTTGCTTTGATCATCACTGGGACACAATATATTGTATAATAGTCCCAGATCATCATGACAATTTTCAATTCATGATTTATTTCATCAAAATGATTAATAAAACACTAAAGGAAACCTGTTCATGATTAAATATTTATTCCACACAAAACCAATAAAAAGGGTGAAAACGTGAATGGGAGCGAACCTGATTTTGGGCGAACAGACCTGTATTCTACCCAACCCCACCCAACATAAAACTGTGACAACTTACAGCAGTCTTTATTATAAACTTTTTGCAGCTACAGCCCAAAGCTAATTGCAAAAATTTGTATAGATTCTATTGGCCAGTAGAAGAAATTCTTACTGGCCAACTAGAAGATTTACAAGTCTGGGCTAAATAATTTTGGGTCTGAGCCTGACAGTCTGAGGCAAAACATGAAAACAGTTTATTTTTTGGGGTGCCATATGGACTTCTTTATCCATCATTCGTATACATCATATGTAGGAAATGAAATTCCATGATTTTGTCATATTCCCAGTTTTTTTTGCAGAAAAAAAATATTATGACTCATGACAGTCAATCAATGTGTGCCATATTTATGTTGATGACATCGTAAAATTGCTGATATAGTCTTGCTTTGTAGACAACTGTTTTTGCTAGTTGTAGGTTGTGTTGCTGGCACACTTACGTTGTCTATTACAACGGGCTGATTTGCAATAACATCAGAATAAGGGTCCATTTATATTAGTGGCCCTGCATTCATAAATTTCGGAAGAAGTTGGCGACAAGTAATTACAGAGTCTAGTCCGAAATCCAGACGGATATGATTGAAATACGGATTGCCTCATTTGAAAAGGTTTTAAACTTGTGGTACATTTCGTTGTTTTAGTTTAAGTAGATTAAAAGGTAGAAAACCAACAACAACAAAAAAACAGATGAAAAAAGAAAAAATAATTAAACAACAAATCTACAATACAGTTGTCTAATATTCCTTAACTCTTAATAATTCTTTGCTTTGCGTAGACTCAGTTAAGACTTTGGAAAGATCTACGATGACAAGTGAACGGTCATGTGTGATTTGGCAATGTTACATGCCACCGATGTCCAGATATTGTTCGAGAAAATGTTTTGAGAAGATACGATGGATCATGCTACCGGACATAGAAAAATTTGTCGTTTTTTCATGGAAAATTAAACCTTATATTAAAGAATACAAAACTAGCTCTCTTTTCTGTAAATAAAACTAAAAAGCTGACATGGGTTAAATTAAAGTGAGACAACACCAATCTCCCGGAATCAAATCTTTTAAAAAGAAAATAATGTACTGCCATATCATTGACCTATTACATTTGAAGGACTAAACTTGCATCGAGCCGAGTTCACGCCGCCCTAAAAAAGAAAATAAAGGGATATGGAGTAAATATGCATGGGACAAAATCGCACAGACTGATACATAGAAAAAATACAAATTATCAATGAGCAGGGCTTTTATTCCTGTTCTTCATCTTGACAGTCGCTAGAGGGTCTTCAACAATGAACGAATCATTCATACTCTATAAATCAAGGTCAAGGACGGCCTCTCAGAGCGTCGACATAAGCACACACTTTTTGGTATTTAGCTATATTTTGCCTCCGAATGACCTTAGATCTACTCCGAATCACCTTTTGACGTCAGACAACAATCACTTTTTAATTGTGACGTCAAATGTTTTGAATTATGATGTCAAAGTTTACGGGAACCTGTGTGATTTTACGTAATGGCGGACAAATTTGCATACAAGTGTAAATACGTCTATTGTACTGTGAATAAATTTTATAAAGTCCACAAAAATATTACACCAAAGTCTTAACACAATACAAGACCAGAACAGACAGATCCGACATTAATCAGCCGGTTAACATATTAAAACTGCACAAAAATGTAGCAATGAGTTCTAAGAACTGAGTCTACCCTGAGTGTACCTTTTTATCCCAGTTAGGAACTACATCAACTTGTAATTGAAATATGTTAAAAAAAAAATGAATTCACATAGTTATATCAATGATAGTCAGCCCCTCTTAACTTAATTTGAAAAAAACATGATTGACAGGTTTATAGCTTGCTGTTCAGTGTGAGCCAATGCTCCGTGTTGAAGGCCGTACCTTGACCTATAATGGTTTACTTTTATAAATTGTAACTTGCATGGAGAGTTGTCTCATTGGCACTCATACCAAATCTTCCTATATCTAGGTATAATACGTTTTTCTGCAAGCCAAAACTCAATAACAAAAAAAAAACAAAACAAAATAACAGCAGCCACACACTTGACTATGTGAATTACGAATTTTGCTATATCCTACATATCGGTCTTTTGATGTTGTCCCTAAAAAACTAAAAAGTTTTACACTGAATCTATATATTTTGCTTTGATACCAGTATATTGTCGAAAAAATAATTAAAACAAACTTGCGTTTCAGTTTCAGAAAGGGTCCGGGAAACGCTCAGAATGCACGATTTTGCGTCATTTTTTCCAGAGCTTCCCAAACCCCTCGCTGAAACATTTTCGCTTCGCTCCGCTCGGCGAATATATTTTGCCTCAGTTTTAAAAGAGGCTAGTTACGGCCCTGCAATATCGTGAATCAAACACACTTATTAACTGATGATGTTGTAAGAAAGAATAGTAGTAATTCGTCTATCACGGATCGTTTATGCATGTTGTCAACATGGTCACCGTTGTTTAGGGAGTTAGTTTACTCAGTAAAATATTTTCAATAAAAGCGTATGAAACAAGAATTGCCGGTCTAACCTTCAGACCGGAGTACGGAACTTCGTGTTGTTTAACTGTTATATCATAGATTGCGATATATTTTGTTTTTCAAGTAATATCTGTGCCGTTTCTACAGGTTGATGAACAATCAGGGGCAATTAAGCATTCGTCTGTTGGTAACATAAAGGTTATTATGCTAGATATATTAACTGGAACTTGCCGACGATATTTATGTTGGTAGATTATTTCAATCCCTGATGGTCCTAATTGGAAAGAAAGATTTGTCGTAGGCATCTGTACTGGTTCTTTCTTGGTAGAAGCAGTTTTTACATCTGGTACGATTGTCGCTTGGGGTCAGATATATTGTTGACGATCTATGTCGATTAGATCATGCTGGATCTTGAACAGCATGCATAATCTGTTTTCCTCCGTTCTTCCAGACTTTCCCATTTTAATGTTTAAACCATATTAGCGACACATATAATCGTGCTGCTCTTTTTTGTAACTGCTCTATTGACTTGATCTTATTTTGGTTTGTTAGATCCCATACTGTGCATGCATATTCCACTGCAGGTCTTACCATGGATACATATGAAGTCACCTTTACAGGTTTTGTGCAGCCTTTGAGATTTCTGCGGATAAATTCTAATGTTTTATTTCCTTTGCTAACTGTATTATCGATGTGTTCATCCCAGGTTTGGTGGTTACTGATTGTTACGCCTAGGTATTTGCTGGTTTTAACTGTCTCTACTGTATGATCGTGGAGGTCGTAAGATGTTTGTATCACTGGACGGTTTTTCTGCGATATTCTTATAACAAGGCATTTTTTTGGGATGAAGCTCATTTGCGATTTGTTTTCTGTAGAAGGTCACTGTCTGCTTAGTGATGGTTCGAAAGAGTAGACTGTCATCGGCTGGTCTCTGATGTATTTGCCGTTTCTGGCATGTCACTGATGTGGCCAGGAACAGTAATGGTCCAAGAACTGTGCCTTGGGGTACACCAGAGAGTACTGGTACTTGTGTGGAGACAGATTTCTCTAATATAACGCTGCTTTCTATTATGTAGGAAGGAGCAATTCCATCTGTTGGTTTTAGTATTGACGCCGTAATATTCCAACTTGTCACGGTAGAAGGCGGTGATGTGGCAGCTTGTCAAACGGTTTGGCAAAATCTAAAAGGATGATATCTACTTGACAGTTTTTTTTTATTTTGCAATGTCGTGGATGATTACGATAAGTTGGGATTCACAAGATTGTCTTTTGCGGAATCTGTGTTGTGTGCATTAGTAAGAATTTTATTTTCTGTCGAAGTGGTCCATAATGTTGCTGTGTACAAAATGTTCTAAGACCTTGCATGTGATGGATGCTAAGTGCTTTTCGTCTTTTCTGAAAAGTGGAACTACGTGTGCATCTCTCCAATCTGGTGGGACGTCGCCACTGTTCAATGATATTTGATACAGGTCTGTAAGAATAGGAGCAAGTTGGTCCGCTGCTGCTTTTAGTATACAAGATGGTATTGAATCCGGACCAGTAGCCTTGTGTGGTTTATGACTTATTAACAATTTGTGGATTCTATTGGTGCTAATTTTAATATCATTCATAGTTGAATATGGACTTCTCCCTTTATTTGGGAAGTTATTTAGGTTTTCTTTGGTAAATACTGACTGAAATTGATAATTTTGAATGTCAGCTTTGCTCTTATTTTCACTTTGAAGTAATCACATCTTATTTTTTACCGGTGCAACTCATTCCATTCTTGCATGGCCTTTGCTCTTGGTATATGACCAGAATTTCTTTGCGTTGTCTTTATAATCAGAGTTGAATTTTTCCATGTCTTATTTGCTTGCCTTATTTCCCATTGTACTTCTTTTTGTAGTCTCTTATACCTATCCATGTCTCTTTTCTTTTTAGTTTTTCTGGCCTTCTTGTGTGCTTTTTGTTTCTGGTTTATTTTGCGTCTAATAGTTGTTGCTTTGAATAAAGAATTCTGTTAATACAGTGCGGATATTTACCTGAGGGAACTGACATAAATCTCTTGACAAAAGAGACAATTTTTTTGTTCCCTTTTGTTAATTTTATTTGTTGGACGGTGGGGTTCCATTGCCCCTTTCTTACGGCGGTGTATATTTCCCAAATTGTTGTCGTATGCCCGTGTTTATAGTGGCGTTTAAGATTTTCAATAATGTGATTTAAGTATGAACAGAGAATTATTATGTATGGAATTTCGTTACCACAAATTACTTAAAACATTTACTAAATTCTTTGAAATAAAGAATAACCACAGATTGAGATACAGTTAGTTCTGCTTTATATCTCTACTAACACCATCCCGGATGTGACTTTCCAGTCCGACAAAAGAAATACCGATTTCAATTGCTGAATATTGCGAAATTTCAATTTGTGTGTAGCAACATTCAGGCAGCAACTTGATATGCATTATTTATGCCTCTCAGTTGAAAGAATAGAATAGTTTTTAATTTTTTTTCCAAGTTCATACATATTTCGGGACTGGCTTACGTTTCCTATCGTGATTTCAATGTTTGGAGTTGCCGCAAACAATTTAAGGCTTAAGGGTACGTATTGAATTTGGCCAAGGGTACTTGATGGTCAAGTTGGAGCCACGGTCGCTTCTCCAATATTCAAATGCACAGAAAATGCTTTTTTGTCATATAACAGTTTAAACACGGATAATCTGTGTCCGCTGTACCTGTCTTACTTCTGTCAATTAAAGCACACTGCACACTTTAATAATTTCCAGAGTTATTGGCATTCATATAGTGTCCAAGTCGGTACACACCAGAAGAAAATAGCTTAGAGTTTCGTCAGTTTTGACGCATAACATGCAGGTTGGATAGGGATAATCCAATACAAATAGTTCTTTCTTGCGCTTTATCGTTCAATGTTTTTGTAAAATTTAGATAAAACATATAAGATATTTTTGTGTGTTATTTAATAGCGAAATTATATTAGAAATACTGTTAATTGCGGATCTACAACTGATATAAAATCAAAATTAAAATAAGGTTGGAATTCTATATAATAATGTTGGGAAAATAACTGATCTACGAGATTTCACGAGGTTTTCTGGGTGGTCTCAAAACGGAAACAGGAATGTTGTTGTGTCAAGATTTTAAACAATGACAAATTTTGTCACAATACAGGATTTTTCAAGGACTTCTATCATCGGCAATGGGTTAATCATGAAATATACGTATACATTCTAACTCAGGAAACTCTTTGTTTTGTTTATTGTGTGTTCTATTCGTAAAAGACAGGTTTTCTTAAATTCCGGCGAGTGGGAGGTGAATAGAAAAGCCATTGAATATTTCAAAACATGGAAGACCGAGAAAGCATATACTCATCAAATTATTCTCAGTCCTCTATTCCAATTACACCTCCGGGATTAGAAGCAATATATAATGCATGTAGAAGACAGTATCAAGACCAACCAAATCCTCTCCAAGTCACAGCATTAGTCAAATATTGGTAAGAACACGACACACCTAGTCTTTTCATTGTACATACAGTGAATCTGAATGTACCAAATATTTCACCCATTCATTCGATAGGTGAACTATTAATTGATAAGGCCACTTGAAACCAAGCCATAAATCTCCTGTACCTGGTGTTAACAAGTTCACCAATGTGACCATACTGGTAATCCAGTCATACCAGTAATAGCAGTATACATGTAATTTAACGTGGAAGATCTGTACATTTTGTATTTTCAATAACTAAGGATTCTGATAGGGTCAGGGTTAGGGTAGGTTTATGGTTAAATGGGACATGCATGAGGGTAGTAATGCCCTTTAAAGTCAAGCGTCAAACAGTCATTTTCGGCTACCGTTAGCGTCAAATTGGTTAAAATTTTACCGTGATTTGTCAAAAGATCCTTATCGTGATTCGTCAGAGGTCTCAAATAATTATCGTTACCGTCATTTTTTGGAAAAAATTTAACGTGATTCGTCAAAATCAGTCCATGTTTTTATCGTCTAAAAGAAAGTGTACAATTTATCGTCATACACCAAAAATTACTGTTAACATCATTTGGCAAGAATTTTTACCATTATTCGTCATGAAGGTACCCCCATTACGACCCTCATGCATGTGCTCTTCTTGAAGTATTCTGTTATCCAGGAGCATCAATTAATTTTAACTGCTAACAGTTACAATTTACGTGTCGCTTTCAAATCGATGCAGGACACAACGTCCATACTGCCACGTTGTCCATAGGGTGTATCTTCCATACATGTACATTGAAAAAATGTATCGGCCATAGGCAGATAGGACAACATCATCCATACTTTGTGAAGACGTGTCATCCATCAGTTTTTCTGTCGGAAATATATAGTCAACATCTATACTGACTTTTTCAAACCAGTAAACTTGTATGTAATAAATACTACAAAATCATATTTATGTTATAATTATGAAATAATACTTGTTGTATTATTATATTTTATGTTATTATAACCACAATGGAAAAAATACTTTAAAAGGGTGTTAGTGACTATTTTAAGTTAAAGTATGATTTTTTTGTTTCAAACAAATAATTTCTAACTGGTGTTAAATTAAATAGAATAAATAATGATCACTTATTCTAGTTCAAAATGATAAAATGATATGTTTTTTTTATTTTAAAAATCTGAATATGCATGAATTCTTCAAATTTTTTACAAAATGAAAGCAAGTGACCTTCGCATTTGAGCTAGAAAATCTTAACTGATTTTAAAAACTGGACATGTACATTACAGTAGTAAGTCATGTTCAGTGAATTTATAGGTACATGTAATTTAAATTAAGTACTGATCTGAAAGTCAGACTTTTGGCTTGTGTCAGTTAAGATCTTTTCATTGTTTTCAGCACTGTCATAAGACAGATTTTAAGCATTGTATTTAGAACTGTTGATTAAAAACTGTTAATTAACTGTGCAAAACAAAAAATATTGAATTGGACCTTGATGAAATGTGACTGAACCGTGCTAAATTACATTGTAAATTCTAGCAAAATGTCTGAAAAATTACGTAGATTCTTAGGCAACCATATCTTTTAATATTTGGGGCATGACATTTTTTTTAAAGCATATTTGTTCAACTCTTATCAGAAACAACTTTTTTTCCAGGCATATACAAATATATGTGTGGTTCCAGTTACTTTTTGGACCCCTAGTATAGACCCCCCTCCCCTTACTTTTTTTGCATTTCTTAAAAATAAATTTTGAAGGATCCCATTTTGTGGAATGTGAACTTCAATAAAATTCACAGACTTCTGTCATGCAGTCATGTCTGTCATCTGAATTTCCATTAGAAGTACAATGTATACACTACAGCTGAAAATGCAGCAAATTCTTAACAGAATACAACAAAATTAACTAAAAATGTAACATCTGTTTTTTAGAACTAAACATACATGTACATTGTACATGTATATAGAAAATGGAAATTTAGAATTAAACAATTTATTAGATAAAAATACAAACCCCAATGCACACAATAAAAGAATTGTTTGTGCATTGAAAAAACTCCAAAAAAAATTTTCAGACATTTCTGTCAGATGCTGTTAAGATCTAAATAGACATTACAGAATAAATTTCATGTTGAAATGAACATTTCTTAGTTAGTCTCATTTATAAACATTCTGCAGCAGGAAAACACTACCCTACATGTAGGAACAATGTACTACACATATTTGCAGTTTGATACATGCAGTTTCATTCTCACATTTGATCTGATGAATGACCATTGACCAATACTTTTTAGCTTGTGACTAGTATAATGATTAATATAATTTATTTCTACACCTGTCAGCATACAATGTATTAAAACCTCATTTTGAATTTACTTTGTGGTGTCATTGAATTCGAAGGTATAATTAGTTTTGCAACATTTTTTTTGAGAAGCAAATTGTCAATGTAAAGTTAGTTACATTACTAACAAGTTACACAATAACATAATAACAACTACATAAGATGTATCAAGACAAACAGAACAGTTGATACATGTTTTGATTTTTTTTTTTGACAATCAGATTTGCCATAGCTCTTATTGATTTTTTAGCAACATGTACATGTACATTTGTAAATATATATGGACCAAAAAGGCAAAACAAAATTATGCTTTGACATAATGTTTAGAATTTTTATCTTTCGCTTGTTTATGGTTCAGAAATGTATGCCAATTGATTTTTGTATTTATTCCACATGTACATGTATACAATTGGTACATGTAGATACATGTATGGAGTTCCAACATTTATTAATGTCTAAGGATATTTATAAAAATCCATCTATCCTTATCACAATAAAATTTTGTTTCATGATAATTTTACATAGTCCTTTGGGAATATGGAGAATCTCTATGGATGAGAATTTAACCATGACAAATTTATCATTTTGTGAATGAAGTCATTTCACTCTATTTCATTGTAATGGATAGTGCATAGACTGATGTATTGTTTATTATGTTAATTTTATGATAGAATAACTAATTTTTGCATTAATTGTCATTTGTAACAATTCCAATATCAAACCTGGCCTTCAATCAATCAATCATTCAAACCTAGCCTCTGTTAGTCAAGGATGACCACAATTCAACTGAACTGTTAACATCAAAGTCCTGTCAGAGTCTCACTTCTTCTTTCTATCAGTTTTAAAAAGAGAGGTCACTTTTCCATATGATTCTGAAGTAGTTTGAGCCCCGATTATATATTTGTCAAAAAGATATATATACATGTATCATGTATATAGATAGGAAATGTAGGTTGGTAATTTTATTTTTGAAAAATAATGATTTAGAATTATAAAGAAAAGTTTTTGACCTACAAGATGCTTTAAGTTACACCAAAAATGTCTGTACTTAAATGGTAGGCATGAACAGGTTACGGAGGCAGGACATATAACACTTTTTGATTTACCTGATTTGCCCTTGGTTGGTTCATTTTATACAAATGTAATAATACATCTACGTAAATTGTATATTCAACATATGTAGGTACAGAAGTATTATTTAATATATTTGGAACTAAGTTGTACTTATTTCAGTAGAAAAAATAAGAACATATGTTCATACATTTGAAAAAGTAGGGTAAATCGTATAGAATTACTTCAGGTCAAGATTTTATTCAATAGCCATTACCTATCATAAATGAAATGATCAATTCTCTCAAAAGAAAGTGTTTGGCATTCTTTCAAAGAAGTGTAAAATGTATGACTAGAGTTTCAGATATCATTGTTTGAAATCGTTTTATTCTTTCTAACAATTTTCCGAGTGGATACATTAAGCTGAATATACGTAATTTGTGTATGATTAACAGATTAGAAAGAAATGAAGGTAGATATTGTGAGTGATCTTTTGTCTTTGATCTTCATTTCCCATGTACACACTTGTATTTATAGTTTTATACATTTAAAAATTAATTAGTGTATGCATGAGGAGCATTTTTAAAAACCGTTTGTTCGTGTATGTTCATTCATACAATGGATTTTCAGGAAAGTCCATGAACTAGAAAATGCAAAAACATTAGGTAAAGAATTCACAACATTTTGAATAGATGCAGACAAGTCCTGGTAAAACTAGAATAAATTGTTGTTTATAAAAGAGGAATTCCATTTAGGAACATTTAATTGGTCAGTCTTTTTTTCAACAACATGGTAGAAAGTCCCTGTTATTGACAGTAATCATGGTAATTAACTTAGTTTGGTAAAAATGGTAAAACAATTTGGACATTTTGGGCAGAGCAGGTTCATAGGACTAAAAATGAAAGATCAATGCAAATGTACATGTATATAGTATGGGAGACCCATTCATTTAATAAATGTACATGTATACAGTATGGGAGACCCATTCATTTAATATAGGCCAATTAAAATTAATTGATAGATTTTCATCCCCGCCCGCCCCAATTTTTTTTATTTAAAAAAATTTACGATTAATCCTTTCCTGATTTTGTTCATTTCCGTTAGCGGTAACCACAGATAATTTCGTTTCATTCAAAACTTCCTGTTTCAAATTTTGGTTTTCGTAATTCTTCGAGTAATATAATCAAAATGATTAAGTCGACATATTCTGCTGCTCAATGATGACAACATTATCTTCTGAGAATATAGATTGATTACTAGAAGGGCATGAAATATTCGGGTTACGAATAATAGGCGGTGTCTAAGAACACTAATCGGGGTATGTCACAAATATCAGTGATTAGAAAACCGTGGATTTTTATGCCCCCGCCGTAGCAGAGGGGGCATTAAGTTTTACCCTTGTCCATCTGTACGTCCCCCTTAATAGAGTCATTAAACAAATTCTTCTTTTTATATGCCCGTTTACGGGACGTATTATGGTATACTGTTGTCCGTCTGTCCGTCGTCAACATGTTGGACATAAACTCAAAAATGCTTTAACCAATTTGCATAAAACTTTTGTGAATTGTTTATATCTATTGACGTGAGCTCCCTTTTGTTTTTTATAAATTTTAGATTTTGCATTTCCGAG